GTGATGCGTGCCAACTGGGCAAGCTAGGCTAGCTGTGCTTGAGGCGGTTTGAGGTGATTGGGGACCAAAGGCTTGGAGCATGCCTTGGGGAGCAAGGCAATGGTCCCCCCCAAGGTTCATGGTCCTCACCTAACCCTCTCTCTCCCCTTAACACTTGTTGCATTGTGATTGCATTTAATTAATTATTTGATTTGGAATTAAATAAATTAATGTTTTTGCACATGATCCCACATTGATCATGAAATGGGATTCAAGTTCCCATTCTCTATAAATACCCACTTGGTTGGGATTTTGAGAGAACACTTGAGTGGAAAAGTAAAGGCAACTTCATTGTTGAGTATACCTTGAAATTCGTAAAACTCCAAGTTTATATTTGTCCGGGCCTCGACTAACCTTCGAGGCTTAGGACGCTCGGGTCGGGTTCGAGGGTACGATCCCGTTGGAGACCTCGTATTTTCGGGGTTCAAGTAAGAGCTCATTGTTGAGCAAAGCACGTGTCAAAGGTATAATCTTTTATCCTTTCTTGTGTTTAATTATGTTTTGCTTGTTAATTGCATTTATTATGGGAACGGGTCTTGGCGGGTTTCTATCCGCGTAGTGAGGGTCACTACGAAACCCAACAATATATCTAAGTACCATGATTTCTGCTGGCTGGCGCAGTTCATCTGCCTCTGCCCTTTAACACTCTTTTCCCCTAAGACCTCCACCATCACTGTCCTGCTCAGGCTTTGTAACGTTAAGCTTGTTAGCTTGGAAAGTGCGTTTGCCTGAGCATTCTCTGCCTTCGGGACCAACTCGATATCAAAACTAACCAACTGGGATGTCAACTCGATATTAAAAGTTATGATTGATTTTGTATACGTGAAATATTAGAAAAATATCAATAATAAAACTCTATACACATTTTTATCTTAAAAAAATAGTCTATCCAAAATTCTCTTCCTTACCATCATATGTGTCACAATAAAATCTATTTGTCGCTTACGTGGCTCGACACTAGGCGAAAAACTGGAATGCAAGTGTCGATGTCTCGTGGCTTGGCTGCGAGACCGACTTTATTAATTAGTGATATGATGATAGATATGATAGTTTTCTGTCAGGGCGATGCCCAGATTGTTAATAAAATTTTAGGATAAACTATTTGGCTTGAATGTTAAATACAGTCATATAAACCCTTTTGATTATGCAGGACATTTAGACATATATCATATCGTTTATTTATATAATAGTGTAGTTTTTGTAAATACTCCTTCCGTTTTGTATTAATCGCAACACTTTCCTTTTACATCCGTTTCATATTAATTGCAACACTTATATATTTAGAAAGGACCCACCATTATTTTATAATTTCTCTATCCTACTAACCCCACTTTCACAAATATTTTATTATTTCTCTTTCCTACTAATTCCTCTTATACTACTTTTTTTTTATTATTATTATTTCTCTCTCCTACCAACAATACTTTATATTATAAAAAATTCTCTTTTAGGCCCCATCCTCTAAATTTTCTTAAACTTTGTAAACATTAGTATTGCGATTAATATGAAACGGAGGGAGTAGATATATATGTTATTTTAACTTGAAATTATTTTTATTGAATGTAAATTATTTTTTTACTGAAGTAAAAGTGTTTAACCAAATTAAAATTATTTTTACTAATTAAAACTTATTTTTACTAATTTTCTATTATTTTTTTAGATAAATTAAATATATTATAAATGGTTCTTATTTTAAAGAACTTTTTAAAACGAATTTTATGATGGAAATAAAACTGAGTTATAAGCTATTTATTAAAAGTTATGATTAATTTTGTATATATGAATTATTAGAAGTATATCGATAATAAAACTCTATAAAACATTTTTATCTTAAAAAATCTATCCAAAATTCGCTTACCTAGCATCATATGTGTCACAATAATACATATATATGGTGCGACACTTGGCGAAAACCTAGAATGCCAAGTGTCTCTATCTTATGGCCTGGCTGTGAGACCGGTTTTATATATTAGCTAGTGATATGATATGATACTTAATGATGAAATTTGATGTTTATCATTGTTTAAAAACAATGGTCAAAGTTACCACATGAAAGTGTGTCAATTAATTACGAAAGAAGGGAGTGTATCCTTTAACATTTGAATATTGCATAATTTGCACTTGACAATATTCAGCCAATTTTATATACTTAATTACATGATGCGAAAAAAATAAAGAAAATATAATCATATAGGGTCTTATAAACTCTAATCTCGAAGAGAATAAAATGCCTTTAAATTAATATTAATGAGAAGTACTTTATAAAATTGAAAAATTTATTACAAAATTCATAATATATTAAACACACATTTTTTTCACTCACAAGCTTCTACACAAACATAAACAAGTTAATTGAACATATCCTTACATTTTTTCAACAAACATAAACATTTCTCTCGTTCCTATATAATTGCAACAGTTTGAGTGGTACATGCGTTAATTATATACAAGTTTACCTCAAATAATTTTAAATATGTATTAATAAAATAATGAGAAAAAATAATATTTTTTAAAAAATGCATTGAAACTAACCTCTGATTTTCATAAATAAAAAATAATCAATATCAAAGTTAAACTTTTACGAGTATTTAGTAGTGGAGGTTCTGGGCCAGAGGAAGGTGCTCGACGGAACAGAGCCCCTAAATTTGAGGGGCCCCCAAAATTTAGATTTATGTCATTGTATATAAGTTGTGTAAAATAGCATTAAAATGTAGTTGGCCGTAGCAGTGGTATGAGTAATTATGCTCTACATGCATGAGAGATCTCAAGTTCTAGCCTTTGCTCCAACAATTTTTTTTATTATTTGAGAAATAAAGTGTACGATTGGCGTGATGTGGACAACAAGCGTGAGTAAGGCTGAGCGTCAAAATTCATCGATACAGAGAATGTTATCGATGATTTTGCTACAAAACATGCAAAAATAGCTACCATTTTTTTAGTGATTTCTTGTATCATATAACTAATATATAAAGCTAAACTTTTAGCAAGGCAACGAGACAACAACACTTGACTTTTCAACCTTTCGCGAAGTGTCGCGCTACATACTAAAATTAATTATTAATATGACTCTTAGGATTTATTAAATATATTTTTTGTAGAATAGGATAAAAAAGTAATTTTAGAGTTTTATTCTCGATAAAATTTGAATAGATTTAGTTCGATAAAAAAGTTATTTTAGAGCTTATTTTCAATAAAACTTTGATTTAGAGTTTTATTTTCAATAAAATACCAATATTTTTATTCAAAATGGCGGATCCAAGAGGTACAAAAGGAAAAAATAAAAATCAAAAAGACTTGTTATTATATATAATCGTTCTCTTAAGTCTTAAGGTGCAACCAAACTTTCCCTAGATGTTCAGAGAAAATGAAAAGAGATCAAGGTTTTAGACAACTGTTCTTTTTAGTTGTACATTATTACTTCTAACTTTTTTAGATTGTTAAGTGATTATTAATCCATAAAATACCTATAAATGGACAAGTATTATTGTCCAGTGATTATTAATCCATGAGTTGAAAATTCAAACAACATATATATTCTAGATAAAAAGTTTTATTTTAAAATTCAATAAACAACCTGGGCATCGCACGGGCACAAAACTAGTTTTAATTTAATTTGATGAATTTTATAATGTAATAAATTTTTTATCAAATAAAAATTGGGTATTTAATTTATTAAGTAGAGGGCCCTATTTTGAGAAGTTGAACAGGGCCCATAAATAATATGCAACAAGTGCTTGGCCTGTGCGATGCACCAGTTGTTTTTTATTTTTTATTTTTTTATATCTTAAAGAGCTTGAAAGACTTTATTTTTTATTTGTTATAAATCATAATACCATGACAACGAGAAATTATTTTGGATTAATTTCCCTTTTATGATACATTCTAATATGCATGTATTTATATATTTATGTAGATTGATAAGACATGAATTATTTGTAGTTAAGATGGTAATAAGGGTTGTCTTTATTCAAGGAGGTTTAGTGTTTAAACCTCTTCGCATGCATTTTTGGTTAATTATGAGGTGAAACAAAGGAGGAAGTAGAAATGGAGGAATGTTATGTATATGTTGGTACATAAAATGACAATTCCTAAATATTTAAAAATTAACATTAGTATCATTGACATGTGAAATGTATCGTTGTTATTAAAATAATAGTACTATAAATAGTTATAATTACACTAAATATTGTTACAATGGTATACTTTTGAAGCTAATATATGCACCACTAGGTTGTGAAATTATGCCATTGGAGTGTAATGGTATAATAGTAGTTGTAATGGTATTAAAATGACTATAGTGGTATAATTAAAACCTAAAATTTAAAGTGATAATATGTGGTCCCATCACCTTTTTGTTGTACTAAGTTACCATTATGCCTCTGTTACGAATAAGTACATAACTTTCCTCCCTTCAAAATGCCTCGAAACAAAGATTGTGAATGATGATGTGGCCGCTGATGTGACGTGATTATAGTGCGAGAATGGATACATGTGCACATTGACATTTTTAAAAACGCTTTTTAATATATAAAATAAATAAGTATAGATATAGATTGTTGCCCCGGCACTTATATTTAGGAATAGATAAGAACAAACAACAAAATGCAAACAAACAAGTTTTATGTATATACATAATCCAAATATCCAACGCAACTGTGCACCAAAAAAAATAAATCCAACTTAACAATTTGCAATAGTTTATAATTTTATCTACCGTTTTTCATTATTCATTGATATTGTTTACTTCGTATTGACTACTAATACAACATTATTAGCTGGCACGCAGCTCAATAAACAAACAAATCTTATACGAGTAATAAAAATGGTGTCTTCGTTGAAAATAGTACTCAGTATCACATTCAAATTCAGGTGTAGCTGGTATCAAAAAAAAAAAAAAAAAAAAATCCAGGTGTAGCTACTCCTACACTATTACGGAATATTCTTTTCTACCCCTACCAAAAATGGGTGTTAGAATTTATTGGCTCATATTAATTTCTATTTTCATGCTTAATGAAGTACAAGTATCAGTTTTCGGTGTTGCATCAACTAGTGAAGCTGATTTTCCTAGAGGTGCAATTTCATTACGCACGGTGATGCGAAGATCACGTCCTATTAAAGCACCGCCTCCTCCTAAGCGTAATGTGCCTGTTCACTTCAAGCGCACGCCACCTCTTCCTCCACCACCGCCACCACCATCTCATTATTACAAATTACCACCGGCTTTACCGATATATTCACCGCCTTTTCATCCTCCGAGCGATCTAGTACCACCTCCGCCATCGTATTACAGAGTCTGATTTAGGTATCTCTTAGTGGTTTTCTTTGTCCTTGCTACACATATACTAGCAATATTTTATTTACTGGATAGAAGGTTTTTTCATCTATAATTTTTAATTATTTAATTTATTGTATTTAATAATTTCAGATAAAATTACAAAAGTTTAATATTTATTTTTTTTACTATAATTTATAATGAATTTGTTAAATATAAATAAATTGTAAATATGATATTTTTTCCGTTATATAAAATCTTTAATGTGAAAGGATAAATTTTTAATAATTTAAATCCTAAATTATTATTCGTTGTTTTACCATATCTTTTATTTCAATAGAATCTTCAACCTCGTCCACAATCAACCTACTACATCAACGGATAAATTGAACCGTGAAATGTTAGCCAAAGTGAAATTGATATAAATTAAATCTTTACATTTATATTAAATAAATCAATATATTTACCAATAAATGAAAAATTATTGCGATATAAAATCAAATTTATGCATTGGAATTTTTTCAGCATTTCAAAAAATAACCAAAGCCATCCATATATTAAGTATACAACATCTAATCATATGACACTACATAAACAAATAATTGTTAAGTAGCCTAAATAAATACAATGTAACTGATAATTACAAATATAAATTTAAACATAAGATTTTAAAAATTACCCGGACATTGATGACCTAACATTAACACAAAATTACTAACACAAAATTCGCTTGATGGGGTTTTGTATTGATACGAAATTTTATTTGTGTCGTATGATGTGTTAGATCTGCATGTAAAAAACATTTAGTAAATAAAACATAAACATTGATCGTTGAGTATCCCAAATAAATACGTAAAATGTAAGTAATAATTAGAAATACTAATTTAAACATAGGATTTTAAAAATTAAGCTAAAAGTTACCTGGCCATTGATGACCAAAAGTTAACACAAAATTACTAACACAAAATTCGCTTGATGGGGGTTTTTATTGATACAAATTTTTTTTGTGTCGTATGATGTGTCAATTTATAATGGTAGGTATCACAAATTTTAATTTAATTATAATTAACGAACAATTTGTATTTCTTAACATAAATACTATCTAAATTTATCTTATAATGATAGGTATCAAACTTTATTATAAGCGTTTATCATTTAAATATTATTTAGTATTTTTTTTTTTTGGATTTCTTATATTCGTAGTATTGAATTAATAAATTTATCTTTTTCTATATTTTTACTTTATTTTTTTTTCATTAAAATAATTTAATTCGTGGATTATAATCTACGTGGCATTAAAATTTTAGATATATCAAATCTAATTCGTTACTTTTATCTAGGTGGCGACATAATTTTTTAATTCAAAAATAAAATACAAATCTTTCTTCTTATTGGTCGAAATAAGTATATTTCTTACGTGACGCTCCGAATGCTCTCTAAAAATGCCTACTTTATTTATATATAATATATTAGATTTTTTTTTGGGTCATAACCCTTGACTTATTTGTTTTCTTTGTTACATTACGGCCCACAGACTGCTGTTCTACACACACATACTGAAGTACAAATATACACACAGTGCGCGCGCATGACGTAGGAAAAATTATGTCGTTGACTAATCCTCCCTAGAGTCAAACACAATTTATAATCACTTAACAAACCTAAATACAAGTATAGAGATAAGTAAAGGGTCGAAGCACTAGGAACGGTTATGCTCAAGTGCTTTCAATTAACGCCTAAGCTAGCTCGAAGTTAATGGTGAAGAAAGACTATTCAACTACCAAAACAAACAAGAATCAAACAAATGAAACACTAGGGAATAGGGATCAACATGTAATCATGACAATTGCAACAACTTGAGAAGGTTAAGCCAATCAATTCAATGTAGTGAAGACTAATGATAAAAGCTATCAATTTGAATCAAAGAGCTATCACCTAATCGTCAAGCTAGGTCTCCACTATAAATGACAAACTAGGAGAATCACAATTCAAACCAATCAACAATTACAAATCCTAAATCGAGTGGTCATGTCATTAGGATCTACAATGCAATCTAGCATAGTTCTCAAGGCCTAATCAAACTAAGCACATGCAAACTTCCATTAATCAATTTAATCTCAACAATCAATCAACATAATTCCCAAATTAATCACAATCAATCAATTATACAAGCTTTACCCAAACCCAAGCAAGAAACTACTCACTATAATTCATCATTAAATCAACGCAAGTAAATGAAATCAAGAATCAAGTAACAAAACTAAATCAAATAAGAAATTAAAGAAAGCAGTAAAGATGAGATAGAGTAAGAAATGCTCATTGATGATTGAGAAAATCTTCAATACAATTGTCACCCTTGCATCTTCAATCTCTCAAATCACCATTGAAATCCCTTACTTTCTCTCTCTAAAACTACTCCAAAAACTAGAGTGAGAAACTCTCAACTAACCTAAAACGAAGCCTAATTCTCTTCTTAAAAAAATTGCTTAATGAAGAATTAAGGTTAAAAGCTATTTATAGTATAACCAACTACAAAGGAAATAAGGCAAATATACCGAAATAGACCCAGTCAGGCGCGCCCTCGCAGCCATCGGCACGCCCACAATAATTTGGGTACGGAACAGAGGCCTCAGGTGGCACGCCCGCAAAGAAGACATACGCGCCTGCGCGAACCTGGTGCACGCCCGCGCAAAGGTCGCGCTACCCCCGCGCTGAGTTCCTGCTCTTTTTCAGATTTTCTACAGCGCGGCTGTGCAGGCTCGCTGCTTACCGTGGCGTGGTGCGGCTCTACCTGTCGTGGCACGACGTTGCTTGCCGTGGCGCGGCATTTCCTACAGTGAAGTGGCGCTGCCTGCCATGGCGCGACGCTTCCTATCATGCGCGTCTGCTTAGCCTGGAGCAGAACACTTCTTCGGTGCGTGCGTGATGTGAATCGTGCGCTACTCATGATCGTCAATAGGCATGGCAGTTTCGAAATGAAGTTTATAGTGGGTTCAACACCATGATTTTATGAAAGCGCAGCATGATAGCATAAGCCCAAATCCTAGAGTAAGCCATCTCTTGCTTTGTGAAATATACATAAGCTTCCACCTTGCACCATAAACCTCTTCCAACCCGGAAAATCATCGTGAGGGATCTCGAGCTTCACGTTACTCCTACAAACAAAAGAGAAAAGAACAAAGAAAAGGGAAAAACACGAGAAAATCCACAAAAGTGGAAGAAAACACAAAATAAGCAAGAATAAGGAAACTAAAGAGCAAATGATTAAAACTAAGCATTAATTAGGAAAGAAAGCTATAAAGATAAGGTAAAAAGAACCTAAAATACTACCATATGAGTGCCATAAATGACACTCATCAAACTTCCCCAAGCTAAACTTTTGCTCGTCCTCGAGCAAAACAAAATCAAACCCAAGGGAAAATGATGACATCATTCAAATAAGAAAAGAAGAGGGGAGATGAGAATTATACTAAACCACTTTCGTATCACGGTCAATTTTAGAAACTAAAGACAAGCCATTTAAACCCCTTAATCGCCCTAGAGGGTGAGTATGCTCTCGTAAGGGTTTCCTAAGAGGTTAACCCATAACTCTCACAAACCAAACAAACAAGGCAAAGCATGAGAATGAAATTAAAAGAAAAACAAATGCTCTTGTATGGACTTTTGCAAATGAACAAGCACAAATGGATGCAAATATTTCTAAACAATAGAGGAGTGCACATTTTAAGATACCCAAGGTTGATTGAAACATAAAATATGCTAAGTGTAAAATTATAGATACTCTAAGCGGAATTGCATGATCATATTTATATGCATCTAAAATAGGATCTATACACAACACATAAAGAAAGCACATAATTATACCTTTAAAGCATGATTCCAAGAGTGATCGAGAAAGAACAATTAGGAGAACAAGAACCCCAAATGTGGTTCCTCTACTTGGTCCACGGGCTAGAAATGAACCTCCAATAATGCTAGTTAGTTGAGAAAGAACGCTTTGATCTTCCTTCTACGGAGAGGAGAGGAAACGAACAAGCCACGAACCAGCACCATGCAACCACCTTGCGTGGGTGGTCCATAAGGTTGTACGGATGAGGGGAGAAAGAGGCGTGTGAGTGAAGGGATGGGAGAGATTGGTTGCTTACTTCACACTTTAATGCTTAGGTTAATTGTGACTTGTATTCTTAACCTAGGCAAGGCATCTATTTATATATCTCATATATAATTAGAGTCCATGTGAAGCCCAATCTCCTAATCCAACCCAAACTATTCTACCTTACTTCTTATGTGGCTTGTCATTACCTCATGAGGCCCATGAATAGGTTTCATACTTTGTTCAATCCATGCGCCTTATGTGTGACCCTATAAGATCCATTCTATTAGGCTTTGGACTATTTGACTAGCCCAAAGATCATTTATCATATCAAGAAACAGACAATGACGACCCAAAAGAATAAACTTATTATCTCCATAATATTGATCCATGATATATCTAGTATTTTCACTTGACGAAGACATAAATCTTTCAATCTCCCACTTGTCTGAGACAAGTGTGTAATATTTAAATTCCTTAATTCAATTAGTGTCTGATTTGATAATATGATTGCATCACATGTCGAGATCATATTAATCTACAAATCATTTCTTGAAATCTGAGTTAGAATTACAAAAACAAATGATTAATATGTATTCCGATCGATTTGAACACGATCATGCATTTTCTCAATCCTCCCTCCTTAAGAGGCCATGAAAAATTCCTAATTTAAATAGATAGACTTAATCTAATCTTGTGGCAACCAAAGCTCCCACTTAACTTTTGATGTAACCAAGAAACACCTTTTATAGTCCCCTATTACAGAATGACGTTTGGATGTACCACAGTTAAATCAATCATTGAATGAAATCAGTGTTCCACTCATGTCAGAGAATCCACTAATATATCCAGAAGCTCTATACTTGAACTTCAAAGTAGGTCAATAGTTCGATCATGCATCATTCATGTATACTCATGTGATTAACCGAGCA